GAGCGCCGCGGGAGGCGGGTCGGCGGTGGAGTCCCGCAGCAGGTAGCTCCCTTCCGTGGGCAAGTTCCCATCCTGTGCTCGCACCTGGGCGGATGCCCTTATTAAAGCCTTGGCTCTTGCTGCTGTCCTGGGGCTTCTCCCTTTGGTGTTTGCTTGGCTGGAAACATGGAAAATGGTTACAGCCAAAGGGATTAGGCCAAATAGTTCTCAGCGCTAAACTTCCCTCTGGTATTTAATGAATTCTTGAGGGTCTTGAAAGAATTAACTTTCTGGAACGAGCTGGAGGCTTGAGTGACCATAAAGTGGCAAGAGAGCTTGGAGCAAGCAGCTAGGTATCCTGTGACTCACATTGCTTCTGCAGCCATGCATACTTCACGTACCGTCTAATAAAACACAGCCTTCCATAACAGACAGTGTGTCAAGGGCTATTTTTGGCCTCAGTCAGGGTTTTTTGTATTCCCAGCTCTGGCAAACTCCCTGTGTCACCTGAAACACCCCAGGGCACACAGTCAATGTCCTGGGGAAGGCTGTCTGCTGGACCTGTTTTTGTTGGGGAAAAGGCACAAAAGACGGGAATTAACTTTTCTGCACAAGGATGCTGGACTCCTCCTTTCGGGCAGCGTTTACTTGGTGGAGAACAAAAATAGCCCACGATCTGTGACGCACCGGGGAGCGTGAGTTCAGACCATCAGGAACCGAGCAGTCCCACGCAGATAACTCTGCCCTGTTCCAGCAGAGCTGGGTGAGGAGCCAGGCTAACGTCGTTCCTCCAAAGACAGCACTATTTTAATTTTAAAAGGCTAGTTAGGAGAGCCCCGCACTGCCCGTTGCATGCTGTTTCTGATGCTCGCCCAAGCGTCCTTGCTGCAGAGCCGTGGTTTAGCAGTGAGACTTTCTCTGGCTCCGTGCCGCCGAGGTGGGAGCTGCCCCTGCTTGTGCTGGGTCGGTGCTGCCCCGAGCTGTTGGCAAAGTCCTGTAGGTACTGGAGGTGCCAGGCTTCCCTGCTCTCCATCGCCCCACGGAGGGCAGGGGCTTCCTGGAGAGGGTATCAGAGGCACACAAGTGGCACAGGCTGTGGCTGCCCTCCTGGCGCACGGGGTATGTGCACGGCCCCTTCTGCAAAGCCGCTCTCTGAGCCCTCCTGCTTTCCCCCTCCAAAGGAGAACGCAACCTGCAACGTCTGGGGAAACACCACTGACTACCGAAGCACACCCACGGAGGAGGACCTCTTCCGGACCCCCCACCTGGTATGCTGCGCGCACACGCTGCATCGCGGGCCCGGCCCCTCGCCGGGACTGAGCCGCATCTCCCATGGCGGCTGGGCCGCCGGGCCGAAGTGAGCCAAAGACCAAAGGG